GAGTAACAATGTAAAAGATCGTGAAGATTAACCCTACTGAGACGGTCTAATGGGTCTTCTATGGTCACGGGTCAAAGGCCATGTTTGTAAACTTACATTCAAACATTTATTGAACTACTTTTTTATGAATGTATGTTAATAAGTTTCGTATCAAATTGTAGATTATACTTCATATTTTAGTATTATACATTAGTTAATTTCTTAATTTAAAAGTAAAGATGAAAAAAATCCTAAATATCAATTTTTGTTTGCCATGTGGTATGTTGAATGCAGTATTGGTTCTGATTAGATGTTTATGATGTCCATATAAAATGTCTGTAGTTTCTTATGAATTAGGAATTCAAATCATCGATACTGACAGGCTAGAATATAAAATAAGAACCTACTATATTTTCTATTTGATGAGATATTGCCAAATTTAGTGATATTTAGTGAATCAAACACAGTGGCCCTACCCACCTCTTTGTATTTTTGGAAATACTTACATACACCTACTTCTGTCTATAATGAGTGAATAACCAATCAAAAGCTCAGTTTGTCCCCCCCACATGGTTATATGAGCCTCTGCAAAGTATTTTTGTGGGAAACCCTTTCTTTTCATGGTAGATTCCAAGTGGTAAGGTAAGACATTAGTGAGTTTGAAAAATCATATTTTTCTACACAAAAATACAGCTTAGTTACTAAGCCTGCTAACTTATAGTGGAATTCTGTGGTATCTATACAGTAATTTATGACCTTTTATTTCAAAATGCATAAATAAAATATAAAAAAATGATCTTGTTTCACATCCTCCATGTGTGAAATTTGACAAGGCTTAGCAAATTACGGCAGGCAACAAAGTACAAAGTAGTAACTAGAAGAGATAATTGTTTTCTACACTTCTTTATTTACTGTTCTATGTTTACAAAAAAAACTGAAATTTAAGAACTTATTTGTAAATAGCAATATATATATATACATACGTAATGTATTATAATCAAAATGTGACTATTTTACAAAATACTGGTCCACTAGAACAAAGCTAAGACAGGTCACTTTTTAAAGGCGAATTTTATATTTTTGGATACAGTAACATGATTGCACGTGTGCCTCGTCATTCAATTTCTGTAGCATTAGTTAGACCTGTTGATAGGTCAATAAAATAAAAATAATAAATTTTTATACATATAAAATGTTACGAGATTTAAGATATTTAGACTCAATATTTGTGTTATAATTTTTATTAATTCTAAGACAAAAAAGGCATAATTTATATCTATTTCCTATTTTTTATGGTGGTTATGAGGTTGGTCAAGTCTACCAAACCCATACAGAGACACAATATTGAAATTAACAGATAAAATATAAATTTTTTCCTAAACAAATATATGATAATTACCTAGAGGATATTAAGAGGTTATAGAGATATCAAATGGAAAATTTGACAATTTTTTGATGCATAAAAGTATAAAATATCCATTGTAGGAGAGATGTCACATTTCTAACATCTCAAAATTTTATGCATGGATATACATGCTGAGGTCGAAAACCAACCAATATCCTCAATTCACTTCCACAGGTCATCACCCTTTAAGGGACAGAGGATGGAATAACATCTACAACAACTCTAAATGGTTCCTTCACAGACATATAAAACTGCCTAAACACAAAGTATCATCTTACAAGAGAGAGTTTATGCAGATTTTATTTTTCAACCAGAGTAATTGATCTTAATTATTAGGGATTCAACATGGCTTGCAGAAACCATGTGACATAATACAAAAATTAGGATTTCGCATTTAACCATTCACTCCATAGTACTGAATTATTTATCAATAATACACCAAACCCCACTACATATAGTTAGCAAAGTACATTTTAAAAGGTTTTCAGAAAACTACTTCAAGTGATAAAGATAGACTATTTTGTTATGAAAGTATGTGTAATGCACCAAATTTGTTATAAAAGTAGCCCTTGGTGTAACGTGAGTGACTTAAGACAGTTTGTATGATATAAATTGTGACAGTAATAAGGTTTTAGTACTATAGTGGTAATACTCTGATTTTGAAACATAGGAGCAATTCATGTAACCACTCATATTTAAACTTTTAAGATACAATTTTCAAACACGTTCTTAGATGTAGTTACTAACTACACCAATTTAAATCTTTTTTTTACTTTTGTAATTCTGTGTATTAGAAATTTTATTAAACTGACATCAAATAAATCTGTTAAAACTTAAATGATTTAGCTATTTCTAATGTTAAACTGATGTTCCTGGTTTTGATGTCACCTCTGTGGGTTTAACTGTTAAAAAACCCATTAGGATGTATTGTTAGCCACTTAGATGAATTACAAGAAAGTTTGAGGCAGTCATTTTAAGTTATGTTGCAATTAAGGCTATTAGTTTATATATATTTTAGAATCAGGAAGAGATACTGATGTGCTGTGAATTTGATATAATTAATTTGTTGCAACAGTAGTAGTAGCAAAAGTAAAAAAGAACAAATTAGGCTTTCATGTCATCTTTTCTCCAATAAAGTTTATGTTTCTGAAAGGAAAAGAAATTCACCAATAAAATGTTTGATTGTTGTTAAACAAAACTACAGAATGGGTTATCTGTGCTCTGCTTAATTGCAGACATGTTTTTTACACCAACTTTGTTCAGCTTGGGTGATTTTGTTTTTGTTTTCTTACTGGGGGAGTAAAAATTCTCATCATCTTAATCTCCTAGGTTCAATTCTCATTGGCCCAAAACTTGCCCACTTTCTCTTTGTCATCAAAGTTACTAAAACTATCTGTCACTATCACTATTTCTAAATGCTGACTAAAAAAGAAGACAAGTTGCTGGCAACATCAACCATCAACGTTTTGTTCATAATTTATTTTTGAACAGCTGATGACAGGGAAGTAAACTGACTGAACTGCAAAGTTTTTTATTTACTTCATCATGCAATAGCCTCTTGCCTTCTTCATCCAACAGAGTGAAATATGAGGACATCTATGGAGTAGACTAGGGAGTCAAAGTAAACCAAGCAGTCACAGATAAAACTATTTCTTTGGTTCTTTTGAGTTTAAAATGTTTTATTTTCAAAAAACATATAACTGGCAGATTGTGGCAACAAATGCAAAACATTCCCAAAATATGTGTAGTGTAATGATGACAAAAATGTGAATAGATTGAGTGTTAAGTTTCTGAAAGAATAAGCAATGTTTCTTACATTAGCAGAAAGTAAGAAACATTTTAAGATAGAATCATCTAACATAAGACTATACCCCTTCTGATATGGAGGCATATTATATGTTTTTATTTCCTGCTTTTATTAATTTTTTCATTTATTCTGTTTGTATCCAGTTTTGACATAAACAAATGGTTCAGAAAACTGGAGTTGTCTAGTTCTATATAAGAGATAGTATCTACTCTGCTAGAGTGGATTCTGTGCATGTTAACAAGAGTTGACAACTGCAACATCTTATTCTGGATGAGTGGATAATATCTTTACATCACATTCAACAAATCCTGTGAGAGAATAACCAGTTATAAAAAGGTTATAATTCCATTGTATAAGTTACTGGTTAGGCCACATTTTGAGTATTGTGTTCAGTCTTGGGCTCCTTACCTTTAGGAAGGTCATTGAATTGTAGGAAAGGGTTCAAAGAAGGGTTACTAGAATGGTGCCTGGGATGGAGAGGTTGTTTTATGTGGAAAGACTAAGATTTTTGAAATTGTTTTCTCTTGAAAAAAAGAAGAGTTGGAGGGAATCTGATTGGGGTATTTAAAATCGTAAAGAGAATTGACAGTGTTGATGAATCATTTTTTTTTTCATACTTGGGGGTAGGAATAGTAGAACAAGGGGAAATAAGTATAAAATTTGGGATGGGAGGAGCATTCTTCAATTTTATTTTTCTAACAGGTTGGTTGACCTTTGGAATAGGTTGCCTTCAATTGTTGTGGAGGCAGTAAATTTAACTGAGTTTAAGAGAAAGCTTGATAACTATGTAAATAATAAGGGCTGGCTTTAAGATTATTTTATATAGTTTTTTAATATATTTATTGTGATAGTTTTAGTTTAGTTTAGAGGATGGGACAGCCAAGATGGACCAGTAGGTCCCTTGTTGTTCCTAAACATTATGTTATGTTAATATCAATAAGCCATCACAAGAGAAAAGATACAAGTTTCCTTTCAAGATTGAAACATTCATTCTTTCTTAGTTAAACCCAGTTCTACAGAAGTCAGTAGAACTAGATTCTGATTTGATAGAAATAATTGTGTGAGTGTCCACATATGTACAAACACATTATTTGATAGAAATGATTGTGTGAGTGTCCACATTTGTACAAACACATTTCTTTTTTACTTTACTTTGTAAATAAAGTCTATGTTCAATTTTTGTTATCAAATGTATCCAGTCTCCATGTCAGACATACACGACTGTTTAATTAAAATGTAAAACAAGAATTATAATTTAGATACTTATAAAGCACAAATGTTCAAGTTAGTAATTCAGAAGTGATAATTTATTGGAGGTTTGTAACATAACTGTTTACAAGTCATTTGTTTTGCAATTCAATTGTTATGAATTGACTTCACATTACTCTAGCCTTCTGAACTTTTTCTCATTGCTTTAAGTAAGTATTGTTACATCATAATGTCTCATAATTTGTAGCAAGTACTAGGCCTCAGCCAGGCAATATATATATATATATATATTATAGGCAATCAAGTTAAAGTGAAAGTAAAGTTAGAATATGTGAGAGTTTATCTATTTCTAAGGTATTATAAAAACAGGAATAGAGGAAAATAATTTGTCTTGTTAAAGGGTGTTCTGAAGTAACTGATTCCACCTGTGTGGATTTTGATGAAAAGGAGACAATTATCTAAAGCTCTGGATACAACTGGTGTGACCAACAGTTATAGTGGTGATCTTAAAGTGAGTATAACAGCCTTGTATTGTGATAACAGAGTTGAGAATAAAAATTCATCCTGTCGATTGGGTTCTAAAGTAACTGAACCTGCCTGTGTGGACTCTTGCTGAAAAGAGATAATTATTTAAATTTCATTATTAATTGAGATGGTTAACTGTGTAATGAACATTTGTATATATGTTTGACTTGTTTTGAACATATTGTTTTAAAACAAGTGGATTGTGTGCTGTCCATTTATTGTTCAAATTTATTGCCAATAAGTCACAGACGCCTACTGTAAAGATTTCTGCCACCATATAACTGCCACTCATTAATTTCTAACAAAGGTTTAAAACTCAGTTAAGTTTTCAATTACAATTACTTTATAAATTTTCAGTTCAAAACTGCTGTTTTATGGTGGAGTTACTTAATACTCACATGGAAATTAATTCAGATTAAAATAGTACACCATCCCTATTACAGAAATATTTTCAATATCTGTATTAACAAACACCTGAGTGATAAACTGAAAAGTCTGCAGAAGTGTTATGAAGAAGATAGTGAGCTTATAATTCCAGTCTCTCTGAAACAGAAAACAAAGAGACTGAGCTTGTTTACCAGATGAATAAGAGCAATTGAGGAAACCAAAAGTGATTCAACATTCATGAACCAAACTTGTAGAGCAATCACAACCAATACACTTGTTTACCAAAGAGGACCAACAAAGCACTGATGAAATCCTTGTACATTCAATTAGATCCGAATACATTTATTGGTGATTATTACTTCATACAACAGTGAAATATGCAACAGATCCCTTCTAAATTCATTGTCAGATCCAAATATGTTTATCACTGAGTGCCAACAAAGCATCCATAATCAAATAGACAGTAAGATCTCATAAGCCACATGGAAGGTGGGTATGTATGCTGTATATAAGTATGATGCAAGTACTCAAGTTTATCCTCATTCACACATGTTGGTATGGAATAAATTTACAAGTGTCACTGTATTAGGTTCCTGATCATGGCCGTTTATGAAGAGATGGGGGCAGGCATGAGAGGGACACTTGCCCCCACGGAAAACGAGAAACATAATTCTTTCTTTATTCATTCAGCATATGTATATGAATTTTTTTATTGAATTCACAAAATCACACAACTTTCCCACCACCCTGGAAAACTTTGCCCTCCCTGGAATAATTTCCGAGGACACCCATGTTCCTAACATCAAAGACGAAAACAGTCAAGAGAATGCAGCCTAATAAAATTATACTTACTTATATAAATCCCCAGGACAAAAAAAAAATCCTGTACCAGATAAGAAATTTCAAATTAATGATGATAAATTCAGTCCTGCTGCTAAATTACAGCAGGTGAAATTCTTACCAATAATATTATATTGGGAAAAATACAAAACATTAGAAATATATATAGACTTACTACTAGTTATTGTGATAGTTTCATCTTCCTTTTTCATCAATTTGATATTCAACAAAGCATCCTGCTTCTCATCAGGAAATGGTTCAATTTTTATCTTTATTACTTCCATGACTACATTGAAGTTTCACTTTTATATTATGTAAAAAAAAATATAAATCACATCCTTCATAAATTTTACAAAATTCAATAAATACTTTTTTCAAAATTCACATTATCTTAATAACTTGCATATCAAATTATAAGCATTATTTTTTCACATCTTTATATTAAAACAGTGACATTATCTGAAATAATGTGACTTTAATTTAAATGAAGTTTATATTTTAATACAATAAGAGTAGTAAAACACACACAAAAAAAACCTTTACCAACAGTTTAACTTTGAGTTTGATTCAGTTTAAACACGTAATGACTGGGAATTAGTTTTTTACTCTGTTGACTAGATATATCTCATATATATTGTTACGACAGCGTAAGTCACGCGAATCTTGGAGCATGCGCGCTGGAGTTTCTAGAAGGATCATGACTTATCAAAGAACTCCATAAATATCCGAGTTTTTGCCAGGCGCCCTCTTTTTTAGTATATAAGCCCGGCAAATAAAGTCAGAGATAGATAGATCGGAGATATAGATAATTGAGTCAAGCGAACAGTAGGCACTGTAAATAAAGTGTGTGAATCACTGTGAATTATAGCGTATGTTTATAAAAGTAGTTAAGTTAAAAAGACAGTGGAAATTATGTGTATTACTAAAAGTTGTATCAAGAAAGAATAAACTAGTTTCAATCAAGACAGGACTTGTATCACTGAAGATCTTCAGAAAGAATTTCTAACAGAAATTAAAAAATAAGCAGATACATAACAAATTGGTGTCAGATATGCGATGGAAAATAAAAAAGAAAAGGAAAACAAAAAGTGGCAAATCAAACTATGACTCAGCAGATTTGATGGCAGCAATACAGTTGTTGGAGGAAAAAGAAAAGAAACAAGAAAAACGACAAAAGAAACAAGAAAATAGATTACAGCAGTTGTTGGAGGAAAAACAAAAGAAACAAGAAAAACGAGAAAAGAAACAAGAAGAGAAATTACAGCAGTTGTTGGAGGAAAAAGAAAAGAAACAAAAAGAACGAGAAAAGAAACGAAAAGAGAGACTACAGCAGTGGTTCGAGAAGAAAAAATAAATGTTACGTCTCCATTTGTTAATTGATTTTTCCGTAACTTCGTTCCGATGAAACTTTAACGACACAAGTCTTTACTTAATAAAACTGGTTTACTCTTTCCGAACATAACTTTACGATACACTTAATTTCAATATTCGCGCTAAAACAAACACAATAATGAACGAACGTTAACTTCAACAATACGTCTCTCTCTGACTGCAGTTCAATTACTCATTACCTACACACACATTAGCGCGTCACGTTGTCACCCTCTTATATATACCAGACTACCCTATCTAGTAAATGCTAGGGCATTCGTGAAGGAACAAGATAGTCCTAGAAACTAGAG